GGCGGAGGGCGGGCGGGCGGGAGAGGGCGCAGGCGGCGGCTGCTCTGGCTGCTGCCTCTGCTGGTCTGGGAGGGGGACGGGGCGGAGCGGCCCGCTTTCAACCCCGCGCACCCTCCGACCCCGGAAGCGCTAACCGCCCGGGGGCCGGCGAGGCGACTGCGTCCTCCAAACCTTCCTCACGCAATGCAGACAACCTCCTATCAGCCTAGAACGTCTCCGTGAACAGACTCCACACTAGCGAGACGACTAAAAACAGATTGAGAACGCTAAGATAGAGCGACCACATGGGGCTCAGAGAAAAAGAGTGGCCCCTAGCGGACTAGTTTAATACTACCGTGATACATTTGAAGCTAGTAACTAGTGCCAATGTGGAAACAGGTCTGATCAAGGACCGAGGAGGGGGGAAGATACGGATGGCCAGAAAATATTAATGCCACAGAAAACCCAGTAGTCCGTAATAATACTTAAAAAAGGGGAGGGGGACCTAACTTGCCACGTTTTAAGTGGCTATTACCCAACTTTTAACTCTTAAAATTGGTATTTAAAAGGAAAGAATTAAGCATTTACCTCCCCAATTAGGAAGAACTGAAGTTCATCTACAGTTGCTAAGAGAAAAGTTTCTTTTTAAATAGATAATAAATCTAGAATAAATGAGAAAAATCACTATTCTGAATGAAACCTAGAATGAAATAATACATTCATATTACGATCATCAACAAAACTTTTTAAGTTTTTTCAAAACTTTTGAAAGAATGTTAGAAATAAGCCGATGTCAAATAAAAATGCAAGATTATTTGCAAATCACACAGTGAAATAGAAGTTTTCACTATATTAAAATAACTTTTTATTAGGATCACCAAGGGATCAAATTTTGTATCACTAATCGGGATGAGTGTATCGGAGACAGTGAGATTGGCACAAGACAGAGCGGAGTTTAGAGCTGTTGTACATAGGGTCGCTATGAGTTGCAAGTGACTCAACGGCACATAAACAACAATAGGGAGCTCTAGTGGCCTAAGAGTAACGAGCTGCACTGCCAATCCATCAGTTTCTCTGCAAGAGAAAAATGGGTAATCTCCAGTGCAATTTACAGCCTCCGCAAACCCAAAGGATGGTCAACTATGAGTCAGTTCTGATTCCACCTCAATGGCTATCAAGTATATTGGTGAACCTCACCGTCTAAAAGAGAGATGTAACTGGGTATCTCTGTCATCACAGGAGACTAGAGCGAGGGCTGCATGGTGGAGGGGACCTAGGGGAGTGTTTGTAAAACAATGAAAGAATCTTTTCTTTTACTTTTCCATAATTTTTGGACTCATGTACCTATAGCTTGTTAGTCAAATT